GTAAGCCAGGATGAGAACCCAGGTTTCCCAAATCCAGTTCGGTGCGTTTCCCACCACACCATTAGTCCTGGTCTCAAAAGCAGCAGGTGGTCTTCCCTCCACTTGCATTTCCTCTTGATTTTTATTCATCTCAAGAAAGTAAAACTATGCATGGAAACTCTCAACCCCTTCTGATTAGTGTGAGCAACTTTATTTCCTGTATAAAAACAGGGAACTCACATTTAACAAGGTCAGGAACTACATTTAAAGCCACTGGAGTCTTAATATTGTGGCAATTACAGTTAATCAAATTCACAGCCATCTCTGACAGCTATGGGTGCTTGAGGGGCACTTCGTGGAAGAGATAAATAAATGAAAACTCAGTTGTTCCGTGTGTGCATTATTCATATATTTATTTCCCAACTGTTGCATGACAGCATCTTCAGCTACATTTTCAGTGAGAAAGATACAAAGTTTTTAAAATTCTACAGTCAATTTCTTGTGTTAAAATTTCTCAAAAGATTCAGATAGGCAAAACTGTCATTTTTTTCTTAATAATATCTTTAGAAGTGAAATGGAAGAAGTACTGCACTCTCATAAATGCTACAGATTTCCTAAAGGAGAAATATGTCTACATATGCCACACCATTTCTGTATTAATCAAACAGCAGAATGTACATTTCCTCTTTTCTTTGGGAAATTGCTTTATTTATATTAGAATAAACTCTGAAATCTGGTCATGGTGTGCTACTTGTAACCCCAGTATTTTATTATCAAGATTCATAAATTGCACAGAATTTTAAGATTAAAAAAAATGCATATCTCAAAATTCCTCCAGCTCTTTATATGCCCCCAAGAGATTAATACTAAATGTATCAGATCTAAAAGAGTGTGGAGGATGAATCAGCTACAAGAACTCATCAAGGGCTTGGAGGCTTAATGTAGATAATTCTTCCATTCTAATGCTTTGAACTTTGGTTAATGATTATTACAGATGAAAGAGAATGTGGCTTACCATGTTCCCTACAGATTTACATATTAAATTCCAGAGCCAGCAGGTAGAAGTCTGAAATAGGACAAGTTTGTCCTCAACCTCCCCTTACTCCTTTCACATTCAAGGGACAACTTTTCAATTCACTTTGGTTTTACATTTGAGTCTGTCCTCCTAAAACCTCCAAATCCTGGCTTTTTCTACCCCCATCACCACCCACCCCATTTCCCCCAAATCAAAATTCCTTTTCCTGGTTTCAGATGCCTCAGGCACATATTTCTTTTGGTAAGCTAAATAAAAGCATGGCGCATAGACATCTGCATGAATTCCATTTTCTCTAGTGGTCATATTCATCACTTTTCAGCTAAAGCTTTAAAAAGCTCCTACTATGTGTTCAATACTAACTAATAGTGAACCATGCCCCCACCAAAAACAATCCCTGTTCTTGTGGAACTTATTTTGAGGTTGGGGTGGGGAGAAAGACAATAGGAAACAACCAAGTAGTGACAGTGCCAAGTAGAACCACAGGGAGATGTGGAAGAGGGTAAACAGGTGAATTTAATTTTAAATAAGGGGGTCAAGAAATGGCCACACTTGGAGGAGCAATTTGAGTAATGCCCTGAACAAATAAGGGAGTGAGAACATGGGTATGCAGAGGGGACATCATTCCAGGAAACAGGAAGAACAAGTACAAAGGTAGGCATGGGTGGCATCTTCTAAGGAAAGTAAGGAGCCGGGGGCACCTGGACAAGAGCAAGGTGGGACTGAGGAAACTATAAGAGGAGGTTGAAAAGGCCGCAGAGAGTCCAATCACGTGATCACGTAGGACATTGTAAGGATTCGGCTGAAGGTTTTGAGGTAAAGACAATTGTGATGTGGTGTAAGTGTACTGAATAGACTCCAGAGAACGGAGAATTAAGCAGCCCAGTGGCTTGGGCCTCAGTGATAGCAGTCGAGGTTATCAGAAGTATTTAGAGTGCTGATGGACTAGGTCTGAGGAGCTCCTATAATGAATTTTTTACTTGTCCTGTTTCTTAGATATGTATAGGTCTTGTATTAGTCTGTTTCTGTTGCTTATAACAAAATACTTGAAAATGGGTGAATTATAAAGAAAACGAAATTTATAGCATACAGTTTCTGAGACTGGGAAGTCCAAAGTCCATCTGGTGGTGGTGACAGTGACCCAGGGGTCTCACATTGCAAGATGGGGAAGAAGAGGGAGCAGAGAGAGCAAGAAAGACAGACTCTCCTCTTCTTTTAGAACCATGCCCCTGACCACCATTATTAATCTACTCACTACTGCATGGTCCTACAATCCAGTCACCTATTCAAGGCTCCACCTCTCAATTATCATAATAGGATTTCGCACCCTCTTAACAGTCACAGTGGGAGCTAAGTTTCTAATACATATAACTTGGGGGACACGATTCAAGCTTCAGGGAGTTTGGGGGGAACATAATTCAATCCACTGCATTCTGTTGGCAAAACACAGCCTATTCTTTATTTTTCTACATTCAGAAAGGTAGGTATAGGGCGTTGTGGAAAATCAGGTATTTCTGGATATATCTGGAACTCTACCAAAGCAAGAAAAGACCAAGGGCATCTGTGGCCATACCAAAATGACCAGATAGAACAAGGGTGACGGTCAATTGTAAAGTTAGAGACTGGCTGAGGTTCTCAAGAGAAGAGCTGATATGCAACTACAATTTCTGGCCACTTAAGCTCAGTCTTGCTCCACTAAATAAAACAAGCACCACCTTGGGTATTTTGAGGTCCCTTTAAGGTAAGTCCTCTGAAGCAAATATGAAGCAAGCCATTCCTATAGTTGTTTGACATTTTGTTATTATGTAAAATACTGGGTACCTATAGGATAACTGGGACATAGTTTATCTGGTCCAAAATGATGGGATACCACTAGTTTAAAGGGTTGTAGAAATGAAGAGCTTGGCTCAAGATTATTTGCAAGGGATGAAAGTTATGCTATCACCGGCTTCGTGGATCACTGCTCCTAAGTAGTAGATTTGCAATTCAATAACGCCTTTCTGAGGACAAAAAAAAAAAATCTTATTTAAATAATGGAAGTATCTAACATACAGAAGATAAACGGTAAAGGATAACTGGACACATAAAGAGTATAGCTGAGTTCTCCTGTGGAGAGAAGGAAGGCTGGGAATGGTGCTGGCCCTAGAAGGTGGAACTTGTTCACTGGTAGTGGGGAAATAAAATACACGGAAGATGCTGTCCTTGACTCCCTTCTCTACTTGCCACAAAGGCTAGTTTTGTGTTCTTTCTTCCCTTATGTATATATAGATATGCCTATAAAGCGTACAATACTCTATTTCTCTAATTTGAGAAGGAATATAGCTTCCCCTACTGCTTTTCCTAATTGTATCAATCACGGTGTCAACATAGTCTCTTTGTAAGATGTTCTAAATCACTGCTTTTGAAGAATTTGCACAATAGGAAAGAATGTTCGCTTCCTCCACCTGGCTAAGTCACTGTGCTAACGGATCTACTGGCTTTACATACAATTTTAAATGCAAAAAGTCCCAGCCCCAGTGAATTGTCACCCTTTGTAAGATGTTCTAAATCACTGCTTTTGAAGAATTTGCACAATAGGAAAGAATGTTCGCTTCCTCCATCTGGCTAAGTCACTGTGCTAATGGATCTACTGGCTTTACATACAATTTTAAATGCAAAAAGTCCCAGCCCCAGTGAATTGTCACCAAATGAGGATTAAAGAATCTTAGAGACAGAAAAGCAAAATTAAAATGTTTTGTCATAAAAATAAGCATAGTTTCTCCATATACAAGAGAGTAGTATTTTCTCAATATGGAAATAACCAGAGCCTTGGGGGAATATTACACATGCGCTTTTACACATTTTCCTGAAAAGAAAGAACACATAGCATGTACATTAACAAGAACCATAAAAATATATTGCCATTATAGTAGTCCATTTCTGTTGCTTACAACAGAATATCTGAAACTGAGTAACCTATAAAAAAAATTAAACTTATTTCTTACAGTTTGGAGGCTGTGAAGGCCAAATTCCAGGGAACACATCTGGTGAGGGTCTTCTTCTTGGTGGGGCGACTCTCTACAGCAACTCAGGGTATCACATAGCAAGAAGGGCCTGAGTGAGAGAGCTAACCTTCTCACTTACTCTCCTTACAAAGCCATCAGAACCACATGCATGATAACTTATTACTTCATAAACGGATTAATCTGTTCACAAGAGCACAGTTAACATGATCCAGTCACCTCTCCAAGGCCCCACCTTTTAAATACTATAATCAGATTTCCTACCCTATTAACACTGCTAAAATGGAGATCAAGTTTCCAATACATGAACTTTGGAAGGACATATTCGACCCACAGCAGCCATGTACAGGGAAAGAATTAGGTAAATTGTGCATCCAAATGGTAAGTAAAACTTGTATTTACCTTAATGTTCTGCCCTTGAATGATGTATTTCAACACAATTACTATTTTTCTATGAGGAAGGCTTACTTCTAGTAAGAAAACTGCAAGTCTAAATTAAATTTAGTTACCAAATGTAAAGAAATCAACAAATGGATGGAATTTCCTCTTCTTCCACCAATCACCTGTTTTCTGCTCCATCCTCTCTCTCTCTTCTCCCCAAATTCCCCAAGCATGGAATGAGTGTCTTTTCTACATCAGGCAATGTGCTAGACACAATGAAATCTAGTCCTTACCCTCAAGGGGCTTCGCTATTGGGATAATGCCTATTATCCAAATAGAAAATTTATATAACAACGTGGTAAGTTCCATACTAGAGCTTGAAAAACAACAACAACAAAAAATATTAGAAACCCAGAAGATTGGCTTCACATTAGTCAGTTATTTTAAACAATTAGCAATGAGATGTCATTATAGGAATGTTTTGTACTTGGAAAAAGTATTATTTGTACCTCTGTTAAATAATCTAGACAGGTATTCAGACTCAGTGAATTAAAGTTACCTCCCTGTAAATAGATTTCTGGAAAGCTACTGCAGTTGAGACTTACCTTATGATAACACCTAAAATATGCAGCACGTTCATCAGAAAATTTCTCCAGTCTTTTCGGGCCTTTGCTTGAAGCTTTCTTGAATACTAACCAGCATCTTTGATAAATCTGGAAGGAAATACAAAGACTGAGCTCAGCATCTCCACTGACTGGGCTATTACTGACATTTGCATTGAGATGTTTTCATTTTGATGTTTTTACCTGTTAAATATTCAGAAATCAGAAATGTGGTGTTACTTTGGGAAAGTAAAATTTAAAAAACTAAAATTGTTTTCGAAATGGGTGTATTATGTCATTCCAATAATTACTGGAATCAAAAGAAAATGAAGAATATAAAGACACATCATCATACCAAAACCTGTGGGATACTGCAAAAGCAGTACTAAGAGGGAAGTTTATTGAAATAAACACTTACGTCAAAAGAACAGAAAGATTTCAAATAAACAACCTAATGCTACACCTCAAAGAATTACAAAAACAAGACCAATCTAATCCCACAATTGCTATGTATATACCAAAGGAATGGAAATCATCATGTCGAAGGGATACCTGGACTCCCATGTTTATTGCAGCTCTATTTACAGTAGCCAAGAGTTGGAACCAACTGAAATGTCCATCAACAGATGACTGGATAAGGAAAAGGTGGTATATACACACAATGGAATACCACTCTGCCATAAGAAGGAATGAAATTCTGCCATTCGCAGCAACATGAATGAACTTATGTTAAGTAAGATAAGCCAAGACCAGAAAGAAAAATTCGGCATGTCTTCACTCATGACTGGGAGCTCGGAAAGAAAAAAAGAAGAAAGAAAGATACAACAATCACAATAAGTCCTTGAACTTTCAAAAGGAAACAATGGAACTATCCACTAGAGGTGAGAAAAGGCAGGGGGAACGGGATGAAGGAGGAGTGAGGGAGAAATTGGTAAAGGGCCACAAAAAATGACTAAACTGTGTAATGATATAATTAACAAAGAGAAGAAAAAAGGTATTTGAAGGCAAATCTGGTCATGATTTTATAACAATATCATTTTATAAACAATATCACATTTCAAAAAAGTCCCAGAAATAAAATCCCAAATCATCACAATTACATAGCCATCAATGGCCCAACCTCTAACTTCAAATGCAATTAAATCTGAAAAGGATGGGCTTGATATACGCTATAGATCTAATTGCCAGTCCTGGAGCGAGACAGCTCATATGTGTCATGTGATATTCCTCATAACTGATGGTGAACAGGTGGGCCAGACACTAAACTAGCTAATAATTGGCTGATCAACACCAAACTGATTCTTGCTTAGGAAATTCAGCCCAGGGACCTGATGATTATTGCCAAAGGTGCTGACTGAATTGAAAGATCGATACTGGTAGGTAATAAACTGAGGTTGGTGGTCGTGTTGACTAACATGCACAGTAGTTAAGCAGTAAAACTGCTAGAGAGAAAAAGATCTTTTCTACTCCAGGTAAAGAAGACATTTAGTTCTTTGTTATCTTTCAGTTCCTAATTTTGAGATCCAGCCCTTCCTTCAGGTTTCTTGGAAATCATCTGTATCGCTATCCCCAGGAGCCTATCACTGTCAACATCACTGCAACTTTTTTAGAAAATACAAGTTTATTATTTTTTACTTGTACATATTTATTGAGTACAACATGAAATTTCAATACATGTATACGTTGTGTAATGATCAAATCAGGGTAATTAGCATATCCATCATCTTAAACATTTATCATTTCTTTGTGATGAGAACATTCAAAATCCTCTCTTCTAGTTATTTTGAAATACAATACAATATCGCTAACTCTAGTCATCCTAGACTAGACTCTGCAACTGAACACCAAAACTTATTTTTAGTTGAGCTAGCATAAAGGGGGATCTCATCCTAGCAACCAAAACCACCTTGATGGGAATAACCAATATAAACTAAATTAGTACACTAAAATATAAATAATGCCAAAGACAGAAAATGCCAAGAGCTAATTAGCACATGAAAAACAAAAAGCAAAATAAAATGGGATTTTTTTTAAGCCTAAAACTTAATAAGGGTTTAAATTAACAATAGTGTTCACCGATGGCAAAGAACTGAGTGGCACCACTCAACTCATTTGACAACAAATAACCTTAAAAGAACAGGAATCTATTCTACAGAAAAAGCCCAAAACGCAACCAACAATGAAAGAAGAATTTCATATTCAAGCACAGATGGGTGGGTACTGTTCAGCCATGACTATCCTTGATCCGAAAATCACCTTTGAAGTACCATATATATGTGGTTTTGTACATTCAACTGGTAAATAAATCTATGTACCATAAAGCTTAAGAACCTATGGGCCAGTACGAAGAAACTAAACAAAGTCAACATAAAATGTTTGGTCATTCAAACAACAGTCAACTGAAAACACCTCTTCCAATTCTACTGGTCTTGGCAGATGAATGAAGAATTCAGGATCACTACTACTTGTCTATAAAGTTCAATATATTTCATTTCTTCTTCTGTCTCAGTAACGTGAACATACATTAATTGCCTTATTTTAGGTGATAAAAAAGATGAAATTCACCTTACTCTGAAGTTGAGCTCTAAATACAGAGGGTAAGATATGTGTCTGATCTCACTGAACATGTAATAAAATGTTAGCAGTATTATTTATAATAATTAGACACTATTAAATCTTCAACAATAAAGAGTGACAAAGTAAATTATAATACTTCTATAATATGTAATGTAATATGTGTTACTCATCTATAAAATAACATAAGTAGTTAATTAGCATATAGCAAATATGATAGTACATGATAGATAGTACACATATAATATGCATTAAACATCTACAAAATAACATAGGTAGTCATTATATTGAAATATAGTGATACAGATAGTATACATTATATATATATACATAGCAAATTATACTACATCTATAACACATGTTATCTATCTATAAGATAACATAGGTAGTTTCAAATGTTTAGAAGACATTTCTAATGACATAGGAACGCGTTCATAATATGTTATGAGGGAGCAGAATTTAAAACTTTGTATGTCATAATCTCCACTCTATTAAAAATGCATGGAAAAGACCAAAATATATATATAAATCTCAAAATGTTAACAATGTTTTCTGAGTTGTGAGAATAAGTTTTAATTTTGGTTTGTTAGGTTTCTTTTGTGTAATAAAAGTTAATACTGTAAATTAAATGAAAGAATTATGTTATTTCTAAATACGCAGGCGCAACAGTGTAATTAAAATCAATTGTGTTGGCTTTCATCTGCACAGTTATTGACTCCACGAAGGAATATAACAACAGGCAGAAAGCAGTTCAAGGCAGGAGGAGTGTCTTTTTCAACAAATGGTGCTGAAGCAACTGGACATTCACAGGTGGAATAAAAAACAACAAATGAACAAAAAACGCACCTTGACTTAAAATACCCACCTCAAAAGTTAACTCAAAATGGACTTAAATGTAAAATAAAACCATAAAACTTTTAGAAAAAAGTATGAGACAATGATGTTTGGGCTCATAATCTGGACAAAGCATTCTTAGACTTGATGCCAAAAGCACAATCCATATAAGAAAACTTAATAAATTGGACCTCATCAAAGTTAAAAACTTTTGCTCTGTGAAAACCCCTGTTAAAAGGATGAAAAGGCAAGCTAGAGACTGGGAGAAAATAGTTGCAAGCCACATATCTGACAAAGGACTAGTATCTAGAATATACACAGAACTCTTGAATCTCAACAGTTGAAAAAATAATCCAATTACAAAAGGGACAACAGACAGACAGACATTTCACCCAAGGGTGTATACAGATGGTGTAGAATCACATGTAATGATGTTCAACATCAGTAGTCATCAGGGAAATGTAAATTAAAACCACAATGAGATATCACTACACACCTATCAAATTGACTGAAATTAAAATAATAATAATAGCACTACCAAATGCTGTCAAGGACACAGAGAAAGTGGATCACTCATACATTGCTGGTGAAAATGTAAAATAGTACAGCCATACTGAAAAACAGGTGGCTGTTTCTTAGAAAAGTATCAGCAGTATATATTAAAAGCAGTATATAAAAGTATTTTATAATGTCAACATGTTGGTTAGGATCGTCGTACTCTAGTTCTGAAAATATACACTACCAGAGAAACTCAGTAAAGGGTATATGATCTTTGTATAATATTTCTTACAACTCAATGTGAATCTACAATTATCTAAAAATAAAATGTTTAATTAAATATTTTAAAGATGGAAAGATACAGAGATATTTGACCAAGATCTTAAAATTATGGTTTAATTTAACAACTGACATCTACATTCTTCTCCAGTCCTATTTTTTTTTTTTTTTTTTTTTTTCC